CCCCCCCCTCCACACACACATTCCCATGGCCACGCTGCAATTCCTTCACCACTCTCCTCTCAGGATCTTGGGCACGCAGGAACACATGCCAGCATAAGTTTTTTTAATTTTTATTTTTTTATCTTAAGAATTATTTTATTTAACTTTATTTTAATTTCACCAGGGGGGTTGAGAGAAAGTGAGAAAGTAAGCCACTAGGTCTGGGACTTGAACTGCAGTCAGCCATGTGGGAGTCCAGCACCCTTAACCCCCCCCCCCCCAATCCTCACCCCCTTAGCATAAGTTTTAAGTCACTGGGTCCAGGTCTTGAACCGTATTTACCTACATGGGAGTCCAGAGACATAACCATTACACCGTCACACAGATTAAAGCTTTTAAATTGTATTCCCAAGGGTCCGGAAAGTGGTATGGTGCTTAAGGTGGACACTCCCACATGGCCGACCACAGTTCAAGTCCCAGACCTGGTGGCTTGCTTTCTCATTTTCCTTCTCTTTATGTGTCTGTCTTTATCTGGTCAAATGAAAATAATTGAATGAATAAATAAAATTAAATAAATAATTCTTTTAAAAAATTGTACTCTCTGGACCAGCAGTTTGCATAATGGCTATGTTGCTGAACTCCCATGTAGCTGACTACGGTTCGAGTCCCAGACCCGGTGGCTTAAACTCACGCACTGTATGGTGCGTGTGTGTGCCCATGCCCAAGATCCCGAGAGGAGAATGGAGGAGAAGGGATTGTGGCGTGGCTACTCCCCCCAGGGGGATTTCTCGCTGTCTGTCTCTCTCTGTCTTTCTGGCAGGCGCACACGTCCTGTAGCAAAAACCTCTCCAAATAAATAAATAAATAATTGTAGTTTCAACATTTAAAAATCAAGATATTCACAAAATCCAGTACCTTGGAAAGATCCAGCAATACCAGGCTCTGGAAGTGGTTCTGGGGCCAAAAACCGGTCCAGGACACTTACCCTGCATCACTCATTTAAGGTGAGACTTCTCTGGCCTGAGTCTTATGCTGCAAAGAGGTCACAGTGGCTGGCGATGCCCAAACCGGTTAACTAGGGTTCAACGCAACCCACCTGTGTAAGAAAAACTTTATTGGAACCAGGACTGGGATTAGGATGAGGTGAGTGAGGCAGAGTTTTTGGTATGAATTTCGTTTCTTTCTTTCTTTCAATAATTATTTCTTTCATTTTATTTATCACTATTATTTTTAATGTAACCAGAGTGAAACATATAGAAAGAGAAAAACTGAGAAAGCAAACCACCAGGTCTGAGTCTCTAACCGCGCTGGACCATGTGGGAGTCCAGTGTTTTTAGACACCACACCACCTGCCAGCCCCAATTTCTTTCTTTCTTTCCTTCTTTCCTTCCTTCCTTCCTTTTATCCAAACTGTATTATTAATCTTGAATACTACGTTTTTGGGGCGCCCGCATCAATTTGGCACGGAGGCCTTCCCCTATTCCTGGCCCTATTATAAGGCGTGATCCTAAATTTTCACGCCCAAACTTCTAACACTTAACTCCCAACATTATGAACATCGTTGTAAACTCCTTAACGATTCAACGTCATATCCCAACTCCTCGTTCTCCCCCAAAACACTGACGTTCACGTCTTCCTCCTCTCCCACAGGAGAGCCTCTACGTGAGGCCACAAACACCTGCAGTCCTGTGGTTCATCCTCCACCTGCGCTCCTCACACCGTTTCCGGCCGGCTTCCAGACCGGAGAGTTGATACCTAGACTATCGCTTCGCTCCCACGGGGCGGAGCTTTCTCATCGGCACCTTCGGTATTCGTCAGATGCTGCCTCGCCCCGGCGACCGTCCAG